TACCACCTGGCAAAGAGAGGCAGGAGACACCTCTGTCTGCAACACCACGAACTCAGCTTGTCCTCAAACACAGGCACAGCTTAGGAAATGGGCACTGCCTGTGGACCTCACGTCTGTTGTGTCCCCAGGCATGGGGGACATCCAGCAGCCACATTCAGGACCTTCTCCTGAGTGTACTGGGCACAAGCAGGACCCCAGGAAGAGAACGTGGTATTTTCAACCTCCTCTGAGCACTCAAGGAATGACATTAAACTGCAGAAAGGTGCCCAGGCTCAGCTACCCCTTTACTAAAGGGTAGTGAGGCACTGGCACAGGTTGCTCAGAGAAGTTGTGGCTGCCCCATCCCTGGAAGTGTTCCAGGCCAGGTTGGACAGGACTTGGAGCAATATGATCTAGTGGAAGGTGTCCATGCCCATGGCAGGGGGTTGGGACTGGATGAGCTTTAAGGTCCCTCCCAAACCCAAACCATTCTGTGATCCCATGACTCTACCCCCAGCCACAAGCTGTCAGCATCTCATTGCGGGTCCAGAGCAAAACTCCAAAGCCATCATCTCCCTTCCCCCTGCAGAAGGCCAAATTTATTCACTGCATGCAGCTCCTGACAGCGCAAGGAAATGAATCACTCCTTGACAGCTGTACTGTGGACTTCATCTCAACTAATAAAGGATCTTTATTTATTGAAGGCAGGACTCCTTCCTGGCCCTGACACAAACCATGTCTGTATGAGCAAGACCCATCACCCTGGTTCCAACTGGGCTGTGCAAGATGCTGGATGACTGGGGAGCAGGAAAGCCCATCCCTGGTCCAAGAGAGAGCCACCTTCTAGTCAGCACCCCAGCATATCCATGTTCACAACAAGGATGTAGCAAAAGGACTCACATCTGTGAGATGCAGGACATGGCACTCAGGGACAAAGCTACTCCAGAGACAGAGCAGGATTGAAACAGCTCCTGACAGCTGTACCACTCCTAAAAAAATGCTTGTCCCAGCTTCTCCTGTGATACCAGAATCAAAGCCCCTGCCAGAATAAAGTCAAACACCATAGAACATTATTCCACACTGTTGAAAGGGTACAGAAATGCCATTCCCAATACTGAGGACCTGAAGTGCCAGGAAAAGCTCGAGGGAAACAGCACCTTCCTGACTCTATCTGATCTGTTCAAGCACCTCCCAGATGCTGGAGATGTTTCCTTCCTCATGAGCCCCTCACCCAGCCCTGGGGCAGGGCAGGAGGGCAATGAGTCAAGGAGCCAAGCAGGGAGCGAGAAACTGCCTGTGGGATGGGAACTGGGGTTAGGGGACATGAGGGAAGCCCTTTATTGCCATTTCTCAGCTTGCAGCAGCACAGCCCACCCAAGGAAGATCTCCATCCACACTCATCAGGATCTTCCTTGTCACCCACAGCAGCCTCTCTCCCCACTGAGTACTCACAGGTCTTAACACAACTGCTCTTGGGGTTCCTGGTACAGGTAGAAAGGAGTTAAATCAGGGGACAGGCTGTGGGTTTTGTCCATATCTCTCTCTCCAGCAGCTTCTTCATCAGGTCCTGCCCTTGCTCAACACTCTGCAAGCCCAAGTTCAACCTCCAACACCAGACATCACCTCCTAATTCCTAGTCAGTACAATGCACTGAGACAGGCATTGCCTTCCCCAAATCCTCAAGGGCAGGTGATGGCAGAGTCATCTCCTCACAACTGCAGGGATAGCCTGTAGAAACCAGCTCCTGTCCTGCATATGTTGGACAGGGAGTGGGGAAGTGCCATCTCCTTCCTGACCATGCAGGCAACCTTCCTCCTAGAACCAACTCCAGGATGGTGGAAACCCAGGTCTGTTCTCACCATCTTGCTTTGCATCATGACAGCTCTCAGAAGAGGGCAGGGATCAGGCCTGTACCCCCAGGGACCAAGGGAGACCACTGCATAAAGCCACAGGAGGCTCCAGGAGGAATCAGGGTGCATACAGGACCTGGCAGTGGGGTAGATCATCACCCAAGCACAGCCCAGAGGGACATGGTCATCTGTCTAACAAGCAGCAGGTGATTCCAGGAGGCTTCCCCAGCCCCAGGCCCCGAGAGCTGCTGTGGCCCATCATACCCAGAGGACCAAGAACAGCCAGGAGGAATCACAGATAAAGCCCTGGTGCCCCTCAGTCCTTTCACTCCTAGGGAGGACCTGACAGCCACACAAAGGGACCAGCTCCTCCTCTCCTGAAATGCTCCCCTGGAGGTGCCTTGCTTTTGCTTTTATTTATTATTATTTTCCACCTTCCCTCTTGAGATTTAAAGGGGAAAACAATGCTTCTGGCCAATTAGACTCAAATCAGGAAGGAAAGCAACTTTTCTCTCACAAGCCCTTTTCTCTCCTCTTTCATCTGTTTGCTTTTTCATTTGGGGCCTGGTGACTGGAAGGGCTAAGAAAAAGGGGAAAACTGGTCAGAAACTCCATTAAGGATTTCCACCTATTTTTCCACCTATATTTCCACCTAACTCAGATCTCCGAATTTTTGAAAGAAAATAGCTCCCATCTTCCACCCCTGTTCGAAAAGCTATTTGAGGGGGGACATATGACAATGGGACTTTGAAACCACAGAGGTAGTTTGCTCCTGTCTTTGACTGAGCGTGGCAATCCCTTGGAGAGCTGGAGCAGCAGAAAATGCCCCGTGGCCAACAGCCTGAGCTCTGACAGGTCACAGCCTTTGCCATAAGCCTTGTCAAACTGCTCTGATAAACACCCTCCTGGAACAAAGGGTTCCCAACCATGCAGCTTTTCCACCCTCCAGCTATGACAGCTTCTTCAGTGTCTCCTACAATGCCACAGCCTCTGGGACCCATTAAGAGAAAGGGGCCAAAGCATGGAAAACTCCTCCCCAGATGTGGGGTCCAGCCCCAGGTTGTCAGGGTGTTGCCACCCATAATACTGCACCTGTGGGTGAGCCGGTGCTCAGCTCCAGCCCTGTAGCTTCCCTGCTGCCATCCCAGGGACCCCATGGTCCATGAAGAGACAGGAGATGGTCTATAGCAAAGGGGTGACACCCCCAAGGCCCACCTTTTTCTGTCACCACCCTGGAGCAAAGTGATGGTGGAGTGACATTGCCCCAGGGACCAAACTGAGGGTAGAAATCCCCTTTCGCTTTGCAAGACAGCAAGGATGGGGTCAGGGGCTGAAGGCGTTTCCAACCATAGGTGGGCTCTGTATCCCCATGTCCCCCACAAGGAGGACAAGAGGTGGCACAGGACCGGCCAAAGCCAGGAGGTACCACTGTCTGTCTGCCCCCATGGCCACAGCCAAGGTGTGGGACAAGCACCAGTCCCACTGCCTCATCCCACCCAGCAGCAGAGCTACAAAGGTGGGGAGAAAGCAAACCTCACCCTCCCTCAGAGAGTTTTGGGGGAGGTTTGGAGGGAGCTGACACATTTTCCAACTGGGACAGACCCCAGAGATAACCCACAATTCTCAGAGTCAGCACCCAGCCCTCCAGCTCCAGATAACCCCCCATACCCAGAGAGGAGGAGCAAAGGCTTGGCAGCCCCGGGGTTAGGGGAGAGGTGCCAAACCAGGACCACCACATGGGATGGGGGAGTGAGCTGCATGGCCCTCCCTCTCCATCTGACCCCCACATTGAAGCCCACC